GGAGGGAAACTAGAATTGTCTCTTCTGTATAAACCAGGCAGTTAAGTACTGAAAGTTCAGAGAGATATTAGTAGGCTTCTGAAACAGACGGGACAAAAGGACAAAGCATTGGGCCCAGAGTTGAACAGAAGGAAAATAACAGGTTGGATTGCTTTCAGGAAATTGCAAAGCTCCTTTATTGACCTCAAAGTTACCGTGAAAACAAAGATCCATATTTTCAATATTAACATTCTTCCAATGTAACTATATGGCAATTAGACATGGAATACAGCTGCATCTAAAGATGGGCAGGCGTAGATGGGTTGTGATTGACAGCATGTGATGGTGGTATCCTGGTACAGTAGATAGAGTGCTGGACTTCAAATCTTCCTTCAGACACTTGCCAGCTGTGTGACCCTGGACAAGTCATTTAACCTCTCTCAGTCTCACTTTCCTCATCTGTAAAGTGAGGGATGATAATAGTAGTACCTACATCCCAGGATTGTTGTCAAGATCAAATGATATCATAAATAGAAAACACTTTGCAAACCTTAATATAAATGTTAGCTATTATTATTGTTGTCATTATTATCTGCATTCTTGGAAGGAACTCCTATATAGAAAAGATCACAGATCAATTTGATTATCTGTGCCCCTAAGTCCTCCATGTGCCTCTTCCACTGTTTGCTGATGCCTGAAATTCCAAAGTGAGAGATTAATTTCTTTGCCTTAACACTTAATCACCTGATAAGTTGCTTAAAAGCAATATAGTCAGTGTTAACATTTCCTTATGCCTTTAGTGTACATTCATTGATCAGGTCATCTCCTGAGAGAGCATTTTTTTTGTTAGGAAAAAGTGACTGAAAGGCAGGGACACCAGTGAGGGTGAAAAAGAAAGGGCACTGCCCAGCTCCAGAATTTTCCCCCCAGTTTGGCTCTGCTGGACTACCGACGCTTTCTCCCACTTCATGATGGTCCAAGTAGGGCTGGGTAGCAGAGCTGTTCTAGTTTGATGCCACGTTATTCAGAAACTGGAAGTCCATTCAGGAGCTACAGCAATTAGAGGAATTTCTTTTCCCAGGACTATTTTTTTGCGTGTGGATCCAGCTGTGTTTATGGTGTTTTAGCAGCTGAAGAAATGAAAGCTTTTAATTTCCCAATAAAACAGATCTTTATGTCTCTTCATTGTCTCTTCTTTGACAGGGTCTTTACTTTTCCACCCTAATATACACACCTCCTACCCTTGTATAATTCAGGCACTAAACCTTCAGCTTATCTAAATTTAAGAGGAAGGGTTTTCCTATTCTGCTTTTGTCTGCTATAAAGGAATGGGATTGTTTGTGAAATACTCATTCTTACTGCATGATAGTTTTCAAATCTCCCTCCATTTAAACTTCTGCCCCTCTAAACTTATCTATTCAAGGCTATGTGAGTACAGTTGTTGGCAATTGCTGCCGTATTTGCTAAGTGTCTGCTCTCTGAAGGGGCTGAGGCAGCTCATTCTATAAATTTAGCCTTCTATACTAGAGTAACACCTGAACAAAAATCTCTAAACTTATCAGAGATAAAAGATGTAAGAAAAGCAATCTGGAATACCTAAAAAGTGGGGTTTTATAAATGAATCTGTCAATCAACTAACATTTGTTAATTCCCTACTGTGTGCTAAGTATAGAACTAGACGCGTGAGATACCCTTACCTCATGAATCTTACATTCTACTAGGGAGAATTCACTAGATATAGTATTACTTTAATGATAATGTTAATTATATAAAATGAAAGTGCCTAAAGATTTCGGGGATTCTGTGGAGGCTGTGATGCATTTTTAGGGGTGGGATTTTTCTGTATCATAAATTCACTATGGAATAGAAGAAAGATAGGACATCGATATATTTTGTGTAGTAGTACATCATGGAGGCAGTAAGGCCTAGTAGAAAGAACAATGGCCTGGGCTTTAGGGGCATTAAATTTGGATCCCTGACCTTTCCTTAAGCCAGCTGTTACAAAACCTTGGACAAGAAGCAGGCCCAGAGAGTGGAATGTAAGCACCTCAAGGTTGTATTACTTTGGGCCTTGTGTACATACCTAGTAGGGATAGGACAGTCCCTGGAATATAGTGTTGTTGTCGTTAGGTCATTTTTCAGTCCTATCCAACTCTCTGGGACCCCAAGTGGAGTTTTCTTGGCAGAGATACTGGAGTGGTTTGCCATTTTCCTTCTCCAGCTCATTTTACAGATGAGGAAACTGAGGCACAAAGGGTGACTTGCTGTCCAGGGTCACACAGCTAGTAAGGGTCTGAGGCTGGATTTGAACTCAAATCTTTCTGACTTCAGGTCTACCTATCTACTACACCACTTAACTGCCCCCTCCTCAAAAAAATTGTTAGTAGTACAATAAATGCTTGTTTATTTAATTGAGGGCTTTTCAGTAGAGCTGTTACTGCATGTACTTGGGCTCATAGATCACAGTTCTTGGAACTAGAAGTATATTAATGAGTTTTTGATGTGTTGCTGTTTGTTTGAAGAAACCTAAGGTCGTTTCATTGAGCGTGATGAATAGTGCCCTTCCATATCCTGAAGATTTATTTGAGCTAACAGAATCAGTGCTAGCAGCATGTGCTGCAGGACAAGGACTGATTCCTTTTTGTCTTTGAATCCCCCTAGTATGCTGCCTTGCACAGACTAAGCTTTTCACAGCTGCTTGTTGACTTGAATTGAAGAATACACTAAATGATTTTTTTGAAAGCAGGTTTCTTTCTTTTTTTTTTAATTATTTCTTTCTTTTTGGTTAGGCAGTGGGGTGAAGTGACTTGCCCAGGGTCACACAGCTAGTAAGTGTTATGTGTCAGTCTGAGGCCCGATTTGAACTCAGGTCCTCCTGAATCCAGGGCCAGTACTCTATCCACTGTAACACCTCCCTGCCCTGAAAGCAGGTTTCTTATAAGCCAACTCTGCTGATTTATTTTTCCCATTAGCAAGTTCCATACTATTTTGTGGATGCTTTTCTTTCCATTTCCCCAAAATTCAGTTTCCTTAATTGGGGTCTCTGGAAATGTTCATTTAACTGGCTTAAGTATGTATATGGGGGAAAGGCAGTTGTTGAGTAGTATTTAACTCTTCATTTACCCATTTTGGGGTTTTCATGGCAGAGATACTGGAGTGGTTTGCCATTTCCTTCTCGTTTTACAGATAAGGAAACTGAGGCAAACAGGATTAAGTGACATGCCCAGGGTCATACAAGTAGGAAGTGTCTGAGGCTGGATTTGAACTCGGGAAGATGAGTCAAGTCTTCCTGATTCCAAGCCCAGTGTTCTATCCACTGCGCCACCTAGCTGCCCAAGGGCAGTCATATGATGAAGCAATGAAGACTTCTGTTCTATTAGTATTAGTCATGTATCCTATGACAGTAAGCCACTGACCTCTATAGCCCTATCAAAGGTCCACGAAATGTGGGTCTCAATGTTTCCACTCCTGTTGTTTTTCCCTATTAGTTGGAAGAGGTGAGCTAGATAATAACAAGATCTATAGAGCACTTTCCTCTTAACAACCCAGTGAGGTGGATAGTTTGTGTATTATTTTGCCCATTTTCAGATAAAGAAACTGAGGCCCAGAGATGTTAAGTGACTTGCCCATGGTCACACTGTCTGAGATGGGATTCTAACCCAAATCACCTGACCCTTGGTCTTTTGCTCTTCCCTTTATTGCACCTAAGGGCCATTCAGGCTTTAACATTTTGGGATTCTACTTTGTTGCCTCTACGCTCAGTGATAATTAGATATGATGACAGTAATCCAGGGGATTACTGCTCTAGTTACTCCAGGCCACTACTCCATTAAGGACAGCTAGGTGGTTTACTGGTAGAGCACTGGGACTTGAAACCGGAAAGATTCCTCTTCATGGGTTCAAATCTGACCTCAGACACTTACTAACTGTGTAACCCTGAGCAAGTCACTTAACCCTGTTTGCCTCAGTTCCTCATCTGTAAAATGAACTGGAAAAGGAAATGGCAAACAGCTTCACCATTTGCCAAGAAAACCCCCAAATGGGGGTCGCAAAAAGTTACACATGATTGCAAAATGACTTAACAACAACCAGTACCATTATAACCTTTGTCCCTTGCTCAGCAGTTTTGTTGAATGAGTGAAGGTGCAATTGTTTAAAACATAATTAAAGTCCCTGAACAGTAACCTGAATGTCAGAAACTGATACCTGGCTAATTGAGGCCTGTAGCATATAACACATTCACCTTTCCCTGTCTCATCACACAATTCCCAGGAATAATCATTAAATCAGAGTTTGTAAAATTTAAGTACAAGGAAGATTTTAAAAGTGCAAAAAGCTAGGGTGGCAATCTTCTTGTGGTAACTCAAATGCCATTTGAACATGAAAACAAGTTAAGTATATTCTATCTGCAGAAATCTTGATTCCCTCTCCTGAAACTGGAATGTGATTTCATTTGCATAGCTCATTAACCTCCTTTGGCTAGGTTAACTCCACAATGTTGGCAATGTTTTCCAGGCTTTGGAGTGCAGATTTACATTTCTCAGCATTTTGTCCCTACTGAATGTCACTGTGCTGTCAGAGACAAAGTTGAGCATTAACTGGGGGAGGGGAAAGCTTGGGCCTGTTTTAAGATACCCCATGTTTGTGTCTTCTCTTATGGAATTCAAGAGAAGGGGAAAGATTAGAAAGAAGGCAACCATGTGCATTTGTAGATGATATTACAATGAAGACTGACTATGTAAAGAGGCTCACTTTCGTTCTTTCTGGAACTTCTTTCCCAACAAAGACTAGCTTTGGCATTGATAATTTGTGGCATGGGGGCAAAATTTTCCAAAAGAAAATTTGCATTCCATACTGTTCGAATCTTTATGTAGATGAATTGTTAATGGAAATCAATTTTCCTTCTCTAGGTAAGCCTTTCATTTCTTAGGAAATGCAAGCAACCTTGCTGTTGATTACTAACAGTACTTTTCAATTTCTTCCTTCCTTTCCTCTCCTCTCTTGATACCTGCTACTGGCAGCTGTCCATATTTAGCTGTGAAAATCACTCCAGCTATCCCTGTGGTCGGCGGGATCCTATTCTTCTTCGTGATGGGTACCCTGCTTCGAACGAGCTTCAGTGACCCTGGAGTACTACCCCGAGCAACGCCAGATGAAGCTGCTGACCTGGAAAGGCAAATAGGTAACGCCGAAGGTCTGTCCTTGTCCTTTTGATCACTTGCCAACTCATGTTCCCTTCCTTCACGCTATGGATGAATCTGACTCAGGCCTTCAAGTAGAGAGGGCAGGAAGTATTTCCAGCTTTGATGGGAAAGCTTGTAATGGAGTGGCATGAGCATCAGGCAACTGGGGACAGAAATAGGAGGCTGGCATTTGTGGTAAGAGGTAAACTGGGGTGACTGGTATAAAATACAAGAATAGATGACACTATGGAAGTTCCTGAGGCTGATGCAACTGTAGGTAGTGTTCATGATCCCAATATCCCAATTCAATTTACCCAGTAAATTTTTGTTCATGCAAAAAAAAAGTGAGAGAAGAAACGAAGATCGTAAGTTTTAGAGTTGGACCCCACCGTCCAGGTTCTAGCCCATTTTACAAATGAGAAAACTGAAATCCAAATTGGTGAGGTGACCCTGTCCATGGTTACCCAAGGAGTAAATAGCAGAGCTGGATTTTGAACATAGGCAATATGGTGCCAAGCTCAGTCTTCTTTCCACTTATACCATTCTTTGCCTTCCTTGTTTTTAAAAACAAAATACTCATGTCAGAAGACTTTCTTGACTCTGTGTTTTGTACATGCTCTGTATTTCTCTCTCTCTCTCTCTCTCTCTCTCTCTCTCTCTCTCTCTTTTTCACACACACACACACACACACACACACACACACACACACACACACAC